TTCAAGCCATTCTCCTGCCTCAGCCTTTAGAGTAGCTGGGATTACAGGCACCTGCCACTATGCCCTGCTAATCTTTATATTTTTAGTAGAGAGAGGGTTTCACCATGTTGGTCAGACTGGTCTGGAATTTCTGACCTCACCGGATCCACCAGCCTCAGCCTCCCAATTATAGGAGTGAGCCACTACACCAGGCCTGTCATTTCCTTATATTTGGATAACATAAGGACTTGAAGACCCTTCTTATTTGGGTCAATCAATGACCTGCACCATTCACACTTTACAAAACAAAGGACAATACAGTCATTCACATCCTGGTTCTGTCACTCCTAGTGACTCCCAAATTGCAAACCTCCCAGCAGGTGCAGCCCTTTCTTCTCCATCTGATGGTCCTCTCTGCTCCCATCACACTGACTGGACACAGACTCCCTAGAGACAGCCCCCAAGAGCAGAAGACAGGGATGACACAGCATTTCCTAAAAAGTCATCAAACCAGATGACACAAAACTCAAATGACATTTCACTTTGTTTTGGTTCATTTTGTTTGAGACAAGAGTGTAGTGGGTGTCTCAGCTTACTGCAACCTCCAACTCCTGAGCCCAAGTGATCCTCCCACCTCAGCCTCTCCAGTAACTGAGACTACAGCCATGAGATACCAGGCCTGGCTCATCTTTTTTGGAATCTTTTGTAGAGATGGAGTTTGGCTATGATGCCCAGGCTAGTCTTGAACTTCTGGACTCAGATGATCTGCCCACCTTAACCCTCAAAAGCGCTGAAATTACAGGCCTGCACTGTGTAATGTGCCACGTGACACAGCCCAATAACAAGGAAGAAACCCGAGGGTCCAGTGTCTATTCTCAAGGGTGGATTGAATGGCTGGGAAACTCCAGCAGGAGGAACCAAAAGAGCAGCCACCGCATCTGCATCTCCTGGTCTTCTCAGGGTGTCCTTAGGTGGCCAAGACAGAGATGGCAGTGGCTTAGGGCTGGGGGAAGGAAGGGGATGGGGAGTTGGGGAGTTGGGGAGGGGGAAGGGAGGAAAGGGGAGGGAGGGGAAGGGGGCTGTTGGGCACCCAATGGAGGGGGAGGAGAAAACGGTCTGGGAAAGGATCTGGTTTAAACTAAGTCTTCAAGCGAGAGTGGGAGGTTCAGCTACAAGTCAGGGAGAAAATCTATCAGAGAAGCAACAGGATACACGGGGAAAAAAAGCAGGATGCTCATTAGCAATTAGATGGAGACCAGGGCTCTGGTTTCCACCAAACCTGTCTGGGCGCTGCCTAAGCAATCCTGGGGCTTTTTACTCCCTCTCCACCAAACCCCGGCCCCGGAATGTGGTACCTCACAGTGGACATTCCACAGAGCACCTGTGTCCTCCAATGCCCCTCCCCCACCTCAGGCCCCCTACTTGACTCCCAAGGACAGGTCCTCTCTGGAACCTTCACAGACCTGACTTCTGGTCTCTTCCACCAGCTCCCTATCTCTGCTTCTGAGCGGCTTCTTCCTTCCTGAGCTCCCAGGGTTTCTCACAGTCAGTCTTGGCTGCAAAACATAAGAAACAAATGATGGCAGGAAGAACCTCACACACAAGCAGAGTGGGAGCTCCACAGCCCCCTCTCTGCCATTCATATTCTAAGCAACAAAACATCAGAAGGATGCAAAGGGTCCCAATAGTAAAGCATCTCCATCACATCTATGGAGCCATTGTCCATCATCCTGTATCTTGGATGATGGCAGATAAGGGGATGTGGAGCAACATTCATTTTAAGCATGCATAGTACATTTACAAAATTAAACTCAATTATCTTGTTCATCAAGCAAATCTCAGCATGTTTCTGATCATAGAATTGTGCTAGAAGTCAATGATTAAAAGCTATCCAAAAATTATTATATGCTTGGAACTTCAAAGCATATAAACATAAGAAACATAAACATTCTTTCTTATAAACATAAGAAAGAATCCAAAATGAAACAAGACTGCTTTTATACTCAGTGATAAGGTCATAACATGACAATCAAATGTCTCCCTCTGGCCCAGGAATTTCACTTTGTGGCACAAGGTTGTGTGGTCTCAAATCACCCCTAACGCACCTAGCCATGTCAACATCTGAAACAGGGCGATGTGGTCACTTATCTATACTATCTTACTGCCTGTGAAGGTGGGCTTTTAATTTTGAACCCTAATGAGGGGGAGAAAGCCAAGTTGACTCCCATGGTTGACTTCCCAGGGATGGCCACGGAATCTGTGCATTTCAAGAGACAAAGTTCGTCAGCCTCTCCCCTGGTGGATTTGGCCACAATACCCAGAGGATTTGGCAGATCATGAGTGATGGATGGGAAGTGCCAGGCAGGTGGGCAGGACCCAGGGGTCTGGTGACCATGTCAGACCCCCACTGTCCATCATCTTTCCTGGCCCCATCCTCAGCTAAACTTCCCAAAGGCCTGCTTCTGCCTGATCACACAGAGTGTGCTCAAACTCACTCAGGCCTCTCGCAGCTGAAAATCACTGCTTTCAGTGTCTTGACCATTTACTATGATGTAAAGTTATTGTAAACCGCAAATATTCTATTCATGCTACAAATGCCTTTATCATAAATAGAAAAGCAACCCTGAGACACAAGCAAAATGAAACAGGGATAACACAACTATGGCATTGAATTCTATTAGTATGCTGTCACCTGCATAAAGAGCCCCAGATTTTGGTTGTCTTGGTTGTGAAAGAAGAGACCAAGTAAGTGGGCATTGAAGTCAGATTAGCCAAAAGTGAATGGCAGAGAGTAGTACCATCATGTCCATGAAGGGATGCTGGGGTCACCTTGATTATAGCCCAAGCAGAGACAGGGTAAGGAAGGAGATGTGAGCTGAGTTTTGGGCCTCAAACAGGGGAGGTGATTCATGTAGCTCAGGAAAGGCTCCCCAAAGCCAGGGTCAACCTCCCTTGCAGGCAGGTCCCTCGTGGAGGCAGAGTGAGTCACCTTAGATTTGAGACCAACTGTGTGACCCTGGGCTGGTTTCCTTCCAAACAATGGAGTGTCAATGGCTCTGTCAAAGGCTGTCTGAGGATAGGAGGAAGCAACCTGTCGAGTACCCATGTACCAAGTGTCATCACCTCCCAAGGACATCTTTCCTTCTAGAGCTGGCACCTTGGAAGGCCCTTGGCCACTAAAGGCAGTGATGATCATAACAGCAGCAAATCATCATTTATGGCTGATGATGGAGGGCCACGGGTTAGGGCTCCCAGGTCCTTGATAAGAATGAGGGTCTGGCGACTCCTGGCGACAGCTGAGTGAGTCCTGTAGGTCTCCTGGGTCCCCAGGGGCCAGTTCTGTCTTCAGCGGCATTGGGCCTAGGCTGGGATGCTGGGGCAGCCACTGGAGCATTGGCAGGACAAACAGGCACAGAGGCAGTGGATCCATTGGAGGTGGAAGGTGTAGGATCATCTGTCCACCAAGTAGAGTCACCAGGCCTGGCTGACCACTGCCCCCACAGCCGATGTCTTGTCCCTTGCCTCATGCTTTGGCAGGGCAGCAGCTGGCACCTGAGGCCTCACAGAGTATCCCTCTAAGACTTCTGTGTCCTGGTCATTGAATGGGCACTTGAGTCACCCAGGGCCATTGGAACAAGGAGGAAGAATCAGGCCCCACGATGTTTTGAAACACTGTTTAGCACAGGAAAATGCACAGAATGCATTCACAACACAGGAGCTGTTGGTATGGGAGCCAATATTTTATGTCCTCCAGCCCTAATCAGAGCACTCTCACCTGTGCAATCTGAAAGGAACAGGAGACTTGCAGGAAAGATAGTGCCTGGATTTAATTTAAAGAAACTAAAATATTGAACATCTGCACTCCTGATATCCTTCCAAATCAGCTCTCAACGTTCCCATCTTCACCACTATCATACAAGGTAACTGAGGCAGTCAGAAATTTACTGACTTAGTGTCACTCAGCTGATTCTGAGTTCACTACTGATCACAGCTCAACAAACTCCTTTTTCTGAGCTTTACCCCGTTTGATCACGCTGCTGCTGATTTTGTGCGGCTCTGGGACAAACTCCACCTGGTTGAGGATAAAGCAAATCAGAGGTGACTCAGTCCTGCTGTCATTTCCCATCAATTCCCCACTCTCCTCCTCTGCCCCTCCACAGTCTCCTGTACAGGCTGACACCGTATGGTGGCCCTAATGGAGTCCACTGGGTATTTCAGGTTCTCCTCTGGGCCCCTTGAAGGTGAATGTAGTTATGGGATTTGCTTTGACTCAGGAGATGTGAGTGGAAGTGAAGTGTGTCACCTTCGGGCAAAAGAGTTGGAAGCCATTCAGACTGGCCACCCTTTCCTCCATCTCTTAGAGCTGTTGATAGTTCCCGTATAGAGGCTGCTCCTTTATTTTAGCGGCAGATGAGGGGATGTGGAGCACAGGGCCCAGGAGAGCCATGGAGGATGTGCAGCATGACTGGGAAAAGAGCCTTCCGTGTTGTAAATTTCCATTTTGGGGGCTGTTTATTACCTATAGTGATACCTGGTCGATCCTAGCAGGCACACACTATCTACTCCATGCTCTGAGAAGCAGACTAGCCTACCATCAGAACATAAACTGGTTGTGAGACACATATAGGTTTCTGTTAATATCCATTACTATGTTCTTTATATATTTAAGTATTCTGATGTTGGGTGCATACGTATATATATGATTGCTATATCCTTCTGCTGTAGTGACCACTTTATCATTATATGATAGCTTTGTTTGTCCTTTTCAAATCATTTTTGATTTAAAGTTTATTTTATCTGATATAAGAATAGCCACTTCTGCTCTTCTTTGGTTTACTTTTTTTTTTTTGATGTTGTAATATTTATTGACATAGCCAATTCTCAATATAAAAGATTTATGAATAGCCTAATACTTCTATTTTATAAATTTGCTTTACAAAAAAAAAATAATCAAAGAAATGCTCTTTTGAGGACCAAAGTTTCAGGGCTTGGAGGAAAGAGAAAGTGATCATTACAAATTCTTCATAGAACCACCAGGAATCTTCTAATTCATTTAAATACAAATATAGAGGATCACATTCTGATCTGACATTATTTCTGTATTTTTAGAAACACTTTTCACTCACAAATCCAAGGTTGAAATGGCATTAAAAATATCTACAGGAAAGGACTGGCATGAAATACAATATTATGCTAATAGTTACTGCATCAAAGTGGTAACTTATCTGTATTCTTCACATGTCCCATTGTATGGCTACATAATTTTTATAATAAAAAACCATGAATTAAGGAAGAATTCAGGATTACAAAGCATCGTTGACTTTATAAAAGAATTCTTCAAACAAATGTGCAGAAAGAAGGCATTCGACTAAGATAGAGAAGCCGCCAGGTGGAAAGGCTCGCGAGGTCCCGGGGGAGCTCCAGGGGAAAGCTCATCCTTGGCCTTTCCAGCAGCGCTGTCCCTGGACACCGGAAGCAGTGGGAGCCCCTTCCCTGTGGCACCCTGAACTCCCACTAAGGCACGTTTGACGGACACTGTACTTCTACATATTTACTAGCCTTGGTTATACGAGGACTCTCAGAGCACTTCTGAAATGCATACTTGGTTTTTTTTACATGGAGGAAAGTAAGATTCCCACACAAATACCAAGATGACCAGTGAATGGTGGCCTCGCTGGCGAAAGCAGCCATTGCAGGTAACCACATTGCCCCCCTAGCTTTCTGTAAACCATGGGATTAGGGAAAGGTTAAGTAACATTTCTTTTTCAAATTCATTTCAAACACTCAACTATGTTCATTTAAAAAACAGCAACTATATGCGAAAGACTGTAAACAGATCTCATTCACACTGACGGCCCACAAAGAGGGCTCTCTGTACCCTTTCAGGAGGCTTTGGGGCAATAAAGCCACAATCTGTATTTAACATAGGTGTATCTGATAAGATAAATTTTTTACTTATTAAAGGTCCTAGTGTACATTCCAAATTAGTAACTTATACCTAGAGAGAGAAAATCTAAATGCTTCCTGTATAGTTATATAAAAATAGAAATCTATCAATAGAGTCCAATCCTCAAGAAATCACACAATTTGTGCCCAAAGGCTGGATATATATCAAGGAAGGGTGACTTCCTTCCTTGATCTCTAAACAACATCCTCTCCAAGTCAGGGGTATCTAGAGGTTGGGCATTTACCTAATGTCACAGGGTCCACTGGCAGGGGTCACAGCTGCTGTTTGGTGAAGAACAATTAATCTCCCTGCAGACAGGATTGACACAGAGTGGACAGCTCAGCATCAGCTGCTTGGAGCACAGCTCGTTTAACTGGATGTGTGAATGCACCAAGTCGGCCAGGGCCTTAGAGAACAATGGATTTCCATTAAGAGACTGCTCTTCTGATGTTTTCAACTCCACACCCCTTGGCTAAAACTTGAGTACTGGATGTCCTGCTATCGGAACCAAGAGGATATTCTTCCTCCCCCTCTCACAGAGTCCTTTGATAGATTCATCTGTTTGAGAACCTAACCAGGGCATTGGACCAACCTTGGATTGCCACACCAGTCGGAAGGGGTTGCAGTACTCCAGCCTTTCCATGACCTTTTGGACAGTGGCGCTCACCTCCTGAGGATACGGGTCACTCTGTTGACCACGGACATTGGCAGTGAGTGAGCAGAAAACGGAATGACCACCTCGATTCTCTTCTCAAGTGGAAAATGGTCCAATTCCTTTAGAATGTGGTCTGCAAAGCATTGAATGAGGAGGCGATGTGTGGGCCACCTGTCAATAGTGCGCCACTTCATCATGGGCTTCCGTCCCACTTGATTATAGTATATGTAAATGGCATTTCGGCTGCTGCCTGTGGTGGAGCAGCTGTACTGTGGATACTGCGTGAAAGCAATAGCCCTTTCTAGGCCGTCTCTCTCCATCTCTTCAATTGCTTCTTCTGTTAAAGGATGGACATACCGAAATCCAATATAGTATTTGTGAGGGGCTGTGTTGGGGGACAATTCATCCAGCAGCTTCACCACGCCCTCTCCCTGCTTGGAAGTCTACATCTTGATGGGGGATCCGCCTCCAATCCTGCGGTACTGCTCTTGAATCTTGGGGGTTCGGCGTTTGGCAATGAATGGTGCCATTCATTGCTTATTCTGAATAGGAAGCATCATGAGATCTCGGTCCAAGAAGAGTCTCAGAAGGAAGCCGTGAACATCTCCAAGGGTTTCAGGGCCTCCCATGTTTAGCATTAATATTCCAGTTTTTGGCTTCCTCTTCTCCGGCTGAACTTGAGGCTTTGCGGCCCAGGCATGCTGGGTTGTTTCTGCAGCGGCAGCTGCTGCGGCTGCAGCCACTTCCACCTCCGCGGTTGACCGGCCCTCCAGCTGCCGGACGCCAGCGGATCCCGGAGCAGGGCGCCCGCGGCGCGCAGGGCCGCAGCCATGGTTGGGCCGAGTGAAAGCATTCCTGGGACAGCCCCGGCTCCTCCCGAGGCGGCACTCCCAGGTGACCGCCCAGCAGCAGCCCAGCTGGGCCGCGCTCCCCACGCGCATCCCCAGCCCCCCCTCCCCCGACCCCGCGCGGCCTGGTTTATTTTATGTGGAATATTTTTACTATGCTTTCGCTTTTAGTGTATACATGTATTTTTAAGTGAAGTCAGTTTCTCCTAGGCAGAATAGTTGGAATGTGATTTTTTAAAATCCATTTATCCACTCTGTCTTTTAATTGGAGAATTTAATCAATTTACATACAAGGTAATTCTTGATAGGTAAGAACTTAATTCTACCATTTTCTTACTTGCTTTGCGGTTGTTTTGTAAATCCTTTCTTCTTCTCTCACTTTCTTTGTGGTTTTGTGATTTTCTCCAGTGGTATGTTTAGGTTCTCTGCTTTTTACTTTAAATGTATATATTATAGCTTTTTGCCATGTGTTAACTGTGAAGATTAAAAAGTAACATTTATAGTTATGACGAACTATTTTTAACTGAAGATGTCTTATTTTATACATCATATATAAAATTCTACATTTTTACCTTCCCTCTCATTTTTTCCTGATTTTGATGTCAAAATTACAGTTTTTTTGTAGTTTACATCCTTTAACAAATTATTGTATACATAGCAGTTCTAAATGCTTTTGTGTTTTAGCCCTTATAGTAGAGATAAAATTGCTTTACACACCACAATAATAGTACTAGAGTATTTTGAAAATGACTGTGTATTATATGTTTCTGAGCTTTATACTTTCATCTCTTTTATTTCATTAATCAGTGCCTTATTATTTCAGCCTAATGAACCTTTATAGAAATTATTATATGGCAGGCCTAGTGGTGATTAATTGCCCTGGTGCCCGTTTGTCCATGAAACTTCTTATTTCTCCTTATTTTTGAAGGACAGCTTTTCCGAGTAAAGTATTCTGGTGATTCTGTTTATTGTTTGTTTTTTAGCACTTTGAATACAGCATCCCTTCTCTCTTGGCCTGTAGGGTTTCTGCTGGCCATGGGAATTATCTTCCACATGATGTTTCTTATCTTCTGAAGCTTTCAAAATGTTTTTGTCTTTAATTCTTGATAAGTTGATTATGATATGTCTTGGACAAGCTCTTCCAGTTGAATTTGATTGGAGACCCTGGATGTTGGCATCTTTAAACAGATTCGTAACATTTTCAGCCATCATTTTACGAAATGTGCTTTTTTGCTCTTGTTCTTCTTCTTTTGAAGCTCCTATTATAAGAAAGTTTGTTCTTTTGATGGTATACCATAATTCCCATAGGCTTTCTTTACTGTCTTTCAGTCTTTTTTTATTTTTGCTCTTCTGACTGGATAATTCCAAATGTGTAGTCCTTGAGTCCACTGATGTTTCTTTTATACTTGATTGTGTCTGTTATTGAAGCCTTCTATGACATTTTTGTTCTGTTATTGTACTTTTCATCCCTAAGATGCCATGTGGTTTTTAAAATTATTACTTCTATTTGTTTGTCAAAATTCTCATTTATTACCATACTGTTTTTCAAGTTTCATTTAATATTTGATCTTTATTTTCATGTAGCTTACTAAACTTTAAAAAGATTTTTTCTAAATTCCTTTTTATTTATTTATTTTTAAATTATAGTTTAAATTCTGGGGTACATGTGCCGATCTTGCAGGATTATTACATAGGTATACACATGCCATGGGGGTGTGCTGCCTCCCTCCCCCTGTCACCTACATAAGGTATTTCTTCTGATGTTATACCTCTACAACCTTCCCACCCCCTGCTATCTCTCCCCTACTCCCCCAAAGCCCCAACAGACCCCAGTGTGTAATGTTCCTTTCCCTGTGTCTACATGTTCTCATTGTTCAACACCCACTTATGAGTGAGAACATGTGGTGTTTGGTTTTCTGTTTTGTGTCAGTTTGCTGAGAATGATGGTTTTCAGATTCATCCATGTCCCTGTAAAGGACATGAACTCATCATTATTTATGGCTGTATAGTATTCCATGGTGTTTATGTGCCACATTTTCTTTATCCAGTCTATCCCCGGTGGGAATTTGAGTTGGTTCCAAGTCTTTGCTACTGTTAACAGGGCCACAATGAACATATGTGTGCATATGTCTTTATAATAGAACTATTTATAATCCTTTGGTTATATGCCCAGTAATGGGATTGCTAGGTCAAATGGTACATCTATTTCTAGATCCTTGAGGAATCACTACACTGTCTTCCATAATGGTTGAACTAATTTACACTCCCACCAACAGTGTAAAGTGTTTCTATTTCTCCACATCCTCTCTAGCATCTGTTGTCTCCTGATTTTTTAGTGATTGCTATTCTAACTGGCGTGAGATGGTAACTGAATGTGGTTTTGATTTGCATTTCTCTACTGACCAGTGATGATGAGCATTTTTCTTATGTTTGTTGACTGTGTAAATGACTTCTTTTGTAAAGTGTCTGTTCATATCCTTAGCCCACTTTTTGATGGGGTTGTTTGATTGTTTGATTTTTTTCTTGTATATTTGTTTTAGTTCTTTGTAGATTCTGGATATTAGCTCTTTGTCAGATGGGAAGCTTGGAAAATTTTTTTCCCATCCTGTTGGTTGCCAGTTCACTCTAATGATTGTTTCTTTGGCTGTGCAGAAGCTCCTAAGTTTAATTAGATCCCATTTGTCTATTTTGGCTTTTGTTGCCATTGCTTTTGGTGTTTAGTCATGAAGTCCTTGCCTATGCTCATGTCCTAAATGGTATTGCCTAGGTTTTCTTCTAGAGTTTTTATGGTGTTAGGTCTCCTGTATTGGGTGTATATGTTTAAGTCTTTAATCCATCTGGAGTTAATTTTTGTATAAGATGTAAGGAAGGGAGTCCAGTTTAGCTTTCTGCACATGGCTAGCCAGTTTTCCCAACACCATTTATTAAACAGGGAATCCATTCCACATTGCTTATTTTTGTCAGGTTTGTCAATGATAAGATGGTTGTAGGTGTATGGTATTACTTATGGGGCCTCTGTTCTGTTCCCTTGATCTATATCTCCGTTTTGGTACCATTACAATGCTGTTTCGATTACTGTGGTCTTGTAGTATAGTTTGAAGTCAGGTAGCGTGATGCCTCCAGCTTTATTCTTTTTGCTTAGGATTGTCTTGGCTATGAGGGCTCTCTTTTGGTTTCATATGAAGTTTAAGGTGGTTTTTACCAGTTCTGTGAAGAAGGTCAATGGTAGCTTGATGGGGATAGCATTGAATCTGTAAATTACTTTTGGCAGTATGGCCATTTTCACAATATTGATTCCTCCTAACCGTGAGCATAGAATGTTTTTTCATTCCTTTGTGTCTTCTCTTATTTCCATGAGCAGTAGCTTGTAGTTCTCCTTGAAGAGGTCTTTTATATTCTTTGTTAGCTGTATTCCTAATTATTTTATTTTCTTTATAGCAATTGTGAATGGGAGTTCACTCACAATTTGGCTCTCTGCCTGTTACTGGTGTATAGGAATGCTTGTGATTTCTGCACATTGCTTTTGTATCCTGAGACTTTGCTGAAGTTGCTTATCATCATAAGGGGATTTTGGGCTGAGACGATGGAGTCTTCTAAATATACAATCATGTCATCTGCAAATAAAGACAATTTGACTTCCTCTTTTCCTCATTGAATACTCTTTATTTCCTTTTCTTGCCTGATTGCTCTGGCTAGGAATTCCAGTACTATATTAAATAGGAGTGGTGAGAGAGGGCACCCTTTTCTAGTGCCAATTTTCAAAGGGAATGCTTCCAGATTTTTCCCATTCAGTATGATATTGTCTGTGGGTTTGTCCTATATAGCTTTTATTATTTTGAGATACATTCCATCAATACTTAGTTTATTAAGAGTTGTTAGCATAAAGGGTTGTCGAATCTTGTGGAAGACCTTCTCTGCATCTATTGAGATAATCATGTGGCTTTTGTCTTTGGTTCCGTTTATGTGATGGATTACATTCATAGGTTTACGTATGTTGAACTAGCCTTGTATCCTCAGGATGACGCCTACTTGACCGTGATGGATAATCTTTTTGATGAACTGTTGCATTTGGTTTGCCAGTCTTTTATTGAATATTTTTTCATTGATGTTCATCATGGATATTGGCCTGAAATTTTCTTTTATAGTTGTGTCTGTCTCATAAAATGAGCTCGGGAGTATTCCCTCTTTTTGTATTATGTGTAACAGTTTCAGAAGGAATGGTACCAGCTTCTCTTTGTACATATGGCTGATGAACCCATCTGGACCTGGGCTTTTTTTGGTTGGTAGGCTATTAATTGCTGCCTCAACTTCAGACCTTGTTATTGGTCTATGCAGGGATTCAACTTCTTCCTGGCTTAGTCTTAGGAGGATGTACATGTCCAGGAATTCATCCATTTCTTCTAGATTTACCCATTTGTGTGCATAGAGTTGTTTGTAGTAATCTCTGATGGTAGTTTGTATTTCTGTGGAATTGGTGGTGATATCTCCTTTATCATTTTTGTTTTGCTTGTTTTTTTGCATCTATTTGATTCTTCTCTCTTTTCTTTGTTATTAGACTGCTTAGCAGTGTATCTATTTTGATCTTTTCAAAAACCGGCTCCTTAATTTAGTGATTTTTTGAAGGGGTATTTTTTATGTCTCTATCTCCTTCAATTCTGCTCTGATCTTAGTTATTTCTTGTCTTCTGCTAGCTTTTGAATTTTTTTGATCTTGCTCCTCTAGTTCTTTTAATTGTGATGATAGGGCATCAATTTTAGATCTTTGCTTGCTTCTCATATGGGCATTTAGTTCTATAAATTTTCCTCTAGACATTGCTTTAAATGTGTTCCAGAGATTCTGATATGTTGTGTCTTCATTCTCATTGGTTTCAAAGAACATCTTTATTTCTGCCTTCATTTCATGATTTATTCAGTAGTCATTCAGGAGTAGTTGTTCAGTTTCCATGTAGATATATGGTTTTGGTTGAGTTTCTTAGTCCTGAGTTCTAATTTGATTCCAGTGTGGTCTGAGAGACTGACTGTTGTGATTTCCATTATTTTGCATTTATTGAGGAATAATTTAC